TAACGATGGCTTTCGAAACTCCAGGAACTTCAACTTTGTGGACGGTTGGAGTCTGCATTCTCATGATTTTTGGTTTGTGAGGTCGTCGTCTGAACAAATCGAACAAGGGCCTTTAACTTGACCGAGAATTTACGAAGTTGTTGTTGTTGTTGCTGGTTTGATTCCTTATGGCTCTGTCCGGACAAGTGTTTTTGCGTCGGCGTCGGCTGCCGTTGGTGCTGGTAACTTGTCGACAGGACAGATTGAGGTTCGCAAAAATGTTGTTGCCGCCAGTGTCATGCGGCAGGATGTTGGTCAAGCTGCTCTTCGCCGCATGTCTACTGCCAGGTGGATTCGTTGGCATCTTAATATGGGGCATCTTGAGCTGCCTTGTGCCAAGGCGATGGCTTCCTCACGAATTTGTCATTCTTACCAAGGCTTGGACGGCAAGCCGCCAGAGTGTTCCTGAGACCACATCCCGCTCGTCGGGAAAGGTGAAGGAGGTGCAGCTTGAACAGCTACGAGGCTCGACAGAGACGAAACTTGCATATTTTGTCTTAATAATGTGGTGCTAGAAAGCTTGGAGCGGCAAAAAGGCACGAGCACCCTTGCCATCCCTTGCCAGCCACATTGAGACATGACGAGCGTTCGGAAGTGCGTGCGTTCTGTGTTGTGCTGGTGCTACTGGCTGGGGCCTTGGGCGTGGCAGTGCCAGGCAGTGACAGCCGCTTGTTCCATCCTGAAGAAGAGAGCGCGGGCGCCGCGGACGCCACACTGCCCACATGGGCACGCGCTTCGGTTGCATGTTTTTTGCATGTAGTCGTGTTATTTCAAACCCAAGCAGATTCAACTGCTGGCCAGCAGGCGCAGGACTCGCAGCAGTTGCTGTTTTGGCCGCAGTGGTGCTCAGCCCACGTGCTGCCTTCGCCGAGTCGGAGGTCAAGATGTATGTGGGGCAGGCTCACTTTTGACATCTCACGGACATTTCAGAGGTGGTAAGAGACACATTTCGACGTGTCATCGCCGTATCGCAGGGGTGCTTCTGGCATGTGCAGCACGAGGTGGTAAAGCAAGAGGCATCCTGCTTGCATCAGCTTGCATTTATCAAAATCTGTTGCGATGTGACGGTGTCGGAGTATGAGAGGCTTCAGATCTGGGTCGCCAGCCCACGGAGATCACCGCACTTTCCGGATATGCTGGGGGCACCGAGGTAGGGCCCTGTCGTGGTCCGAGCTGAGATACCAAATGCACCCACAGAAGGTTCAACTCCAAGCGGAAAATCAGGATGTTTTGGCCTGTCGAGAGCACCGAAGTCGGGCTTCCGTGTGCACAGTTTTGGCTCTGTCCTGCTTCCAGTTTTTCGAACACTTTTAGTAAGTTCTTGGTTTCTCAGACGAAATACTGGTGGATACTGCATCGCAAAGTCTAAAACCTAGGACTGGGAGGTTGACATTCGGTGTCGTGTTTCAGTTTGGGCGTGTGCTATGGATTTGGGAAGTAGAGACTCCTGGATTAATTGCTTGAGGACTTGGACTCAAAGCAATCCATGTTTTGGTGTCTTGAAATTTGTATACTTCTCTGTGTGTCGGTTGAGGAAGACACGTAGGTCACTGCATACAGGGGGATTGGGGTTAGGCTTTCGGCTTCGAGACTAAAGGTACATGAAACCAAGTTGGTTTCCGGGCATGTGGTTATTGGTCAAGCGCATGAAGCCGGGGTGGACAGCAGGCTTAGTGCAGGTTTGAGACCATCAAGGTGGTCTGCTTGAGGTTTTCGGGATTCTTGGCTTGAGGGTTAAGGCTTCAGGCTGGATGTGGAAAGTGATTCGAACGTGTTGTGCTGCTGGCAGAACAGTACACGAGTGTGGTCTGCGTGGGCAGGATATACTGTAATATAAACTGTGGGCTCAGTAGGGGTCAGTGTCTTGGTTTTCGTTTCGGAAGGGGGTTCGGAGTGGATGTAGGTTTGAAGTGCATTAGCCGGCAGGTGCAATGGGAAAGTTTTTCGAAGCCAGCTGCCAACAGACTTGAATGGTGTTGGGACAAAACGGGTCGACACCTGCTTGTTGGTTTGCAGCGATCTGTGTTCTTGGTCAAGGTCCCAGGTGTCGTCATTGTGAGTTCCAGCATGTTAGCCATCTTTTGGCCTCGAAATTATAGAATCCCGCTACTAGCCGTCTTCCCAAAAATGCCAGCCTATGAGGGGAAGCATCAGTGCAGTAATCCTGAACCGTGGTTGCGAGGAAAATCGTGATGTCCTGGTGGTCTTCTGGCGGTCTCTACGCTAGCACAAGTGTTTTGATTGAGGTTTAACAAAATCGATGTAGCGTCGTTTCACGTTGGAGTGTTCGAGACAGCAGTGCACTTGGTGAGGTTGATTAATTCACGCGATTTTCGTAACTACGCACCTTTTCACAACCAAAGAAACATGTAGCCGTGTCCTTCCCACCCTTGATGTGCGCCTCTACGGTGTCCCAGAAGCTGAACAGGTGGGCGGCAATGGGGAGGTGTGCTACCACAACATGGCTATGGCTCCTGACTATGGCCGGATGGGCCACACAGAGGAGCGCCCTTTGCACAAAGGACTCTTACTGCCTACTCGCACCCTAACTTTGCGAGGTCGTGAATGTCTCGGTCCCCGAGGGAAAGGTCGGTGCCTTTGCCAAGGCGACGGGCCAAAAAGAGCCCCGCGCTTCCCTTAACACACTGCCCCTCAGAGGCTTACTTCGATGCTGCAGCCAAGTACCCCTTTGGCCGCGCAGATCCACAGGCAGAAAGCCCTTCTCATCTTAGCTTCGCAGTCGCTGCTTATCAGTGTTGCAGGTTGTCGACCTGTTGACGTGTGATGACATGCGGAAAGGACCGTGGAACGGAGTACCGCTCGGCCATTGGGATTCCAGGCCATACTGGCCAGGGCAAGGTTGCGTTTCGGAATGTACCGGAGAAGTCGCCCCTTGTGTGGAGCTGTGTTCGTGTCAAGATATGCGTTCAGATTCTAGCAAGCAGCTCCTGTACACTGTTCGGTTGGTTGAAAAGCAGAGCCTTGTGCTTACTAATCCTCGTGCATCATGCAACAGCTGCAGATAGATTTGTGGATTCGCAGAGTCTGGCAACATTTCCCGCATTCATGCCTACTCATGCCGCTGTCCTCTCGACGAAATCTGCTGCCACGTGAGATATCATCAGATCTCAAGTGGTACGCGTGGAACCACATCTGGCACAATGTGAACTGTCGCTTGGCATCCTGCTCTGAGCCTGGTCAGTCGAATGAACTCCGGCAGAAACGACAGAGGCAGGGTGAGCAAGATCAGAGGCGGGCAGTTGAGCACTACACGAAGGCCAAAGACTGCCAGGTGCTGGAGGATGCCACAATGGAGCAGTTTAAACGCCAAGTAGACGCCGTAGCCCGCACCAGTGCGGAGGGAGCCTTAGAGGGCAAGTGGCTTGGAACCTCGAAGGCCGAAGTGCTTCCTGCTCCAGACGAATTGGAACCAAGAATGTGGCTGGAATTGGTGAAAGGCATCAAAAGTGCAGCCATCGCTGTTATTTTGTTGTCACATGAAGAAGTTCAAAAGGCCGTGGCGGTGCAGCTAGACTTCGATGATGCATGGTCCATGCACTCGGAGAAGACCGCAGATCCATCAGTCTCGAAGTAAGAACCTTTGTTCTGCCGGTGCACAGCAGCTTCTATGCTGCGTGCCCTTTGTGCATGAGCATCGGATTTGCACAGGTGCGACATGCATCTGCAGGCTGTACAGAACTGCAGGTTCTCTGAATCCGGCAAAGGGAATGGCCTTCTCAAAGCAAATCGCAGCGCGGCTTGGGTGATGCGTTGGGGATGGAGATCCTACAAAGTCTTGTGCGCACAGGCGGCATGGATGGACCTCTATTCAAAGACGTCGAAGCTGCCAACAATGGCCGGCTTCAGTTGGTTCGCGGTCAGGACGGGCGATGTCCGAAATCAGTTGAGTTCATGCTAGATAATGCGGGGCAGTCGACTGTCTCGCAATCTCCACTTCTCGCCACGCGGTGACGGCATGCCTAGCAATGGTGATATAATGTTGTTCGCCTGGATGTTGCTGCAGGGCAATGATGCAGACACCGTCGGCACGAAGAAAGTGTGGGTGAGCTGGCTTTAGCATTCTGTTTGTTTAGGCCTGATGTAGCGAAGAAGGTCCAGAAGCGGGTTGTTCTTGCCATGCCAAGATTTACGACTCGAACAGCTTTCCCTTCCACCAGGGTGAGGCGAAAGTGCGGAAGCTTTGATTTGTTTCGCTTGTGAGTAGCGCCCACTGTGTTCTGCGTTTCTGTCGCATGTCTACTGTGACAGATCTACCATCAGTTCCATGACGATATGCTCGAGAGATACTCGCAGGTGCAAGTTTGAAGTTGTTGTCCGTAACATCAGTGCATCTTGCTGGTTGCCTCCGTAAAGCACCAGGAGTACCACAAGCTGAAGAAGGTCTTGGTTGGTCAAGGAACAGTTCAAAAGGCTGCCATAGTCTTGAACGCAAGTTGCAAGTTCGGGGAAGTGGCTCATATCTGTTGCTTGCAGGTCGCCTGCCCCGAGATGGGCTTCTGAGTTGCTATGAGGTGTCCTGTGTGCATTTCAAACACATGACCCTCAACACAACTCTTAGCTGCACGGATGCTGGGTGCAACCCATGCCGATTCAATCCGCCTGTACAGAAGAAACTGCTTACCCTTTTCGCGCATTTTCTCTTCGGCGCCCCAGATGACGAAATGCATGAGCATAGTTTCCAGAAAGAGCGAGGTTGACTTGACGGATTCGACGGTTGCACTGAATGGCAGCGTACTGTAACCAAAGATTGGCAGAATCTGTGGTTTCCAAAGCCGTTTACGATGCGCTGTGTAGCATTGCACATGTGTGAGTTCGAGGAGGCAGCAAGGACAGGCACTGACGATCATCACACGACACGATGCAGGATCCTGCACAGTAGAACTGCTTGGCACCTGCATGCCTGTTCAATGCATGATGCAACAGCCATGTGATGCTGGCGGATGAAGCTAGTGGTGGAGTTCAGCGAGAAAGCAAGCTGCTACGCATCTTTGCATGACAAGGATGCTTCCGAGCTTTTCCGACCGCCGAGACGGGAGTTTTGCAGAACTTTGCGGCTCCAGCGTGCAGACGGAGATGTATTCGTGGGTTGGGTAGGTGAGCATTCCCTCACCCCTGGCAGATTGGTGCTTTCCAAACCATTTGCAGAATGCTTGGGCTTGGAAGAAGGAGAGCAGGTTGATGCTTTTCCTCACCGAGCTCCCATTGCCACATCTGTCATGGTACAGCCGACTCTTGGTGAAACTCAGCTAGGCTGAGTAGCATTCTGTAAAATACTATCGCATGATAAGGGTCTGCTCATCAGTGGTCTCACTTGCGGACTTGCTCTGCGCTTTGGACCGACAGAGATAGAGAGAGAGAGAGACCATGTTGTACACTAGGCTTTCCGTCACCTTGCTCTTGAAATCGATGGTTACTACGCCGTTTTGCTGTACTTCAGTGTCGTCTGCCTTAGGGGCTCCGCCCCACTAGCAACTGCAGTAGACCTTCTGAACCATGCGACCAAGGCACAGGAACCCATTTCCTCTATGTTTTGCAAACCTTTGCCCACGCCCTCTGCTCGCCTAACAACCAATTCGAGGGCCCATGCCAAAAAGGGCCACCAAGACAGCTCAGGAACTGGAGTAGCCAAAGTCGTCCAACTGAACAACCAAAGCAGCAAAAGAGCCTGTGGCACGGGGACTTAAAACCGATAACTTCACGTTATCGTGGTGTTGAAATGCCCCTCTCCACTGCTATCCCTTCCCCGGAACCCACGCCATACACAAGCTGCCTCGCTGCTAACTGTAGTAGACACACCGAACCGCCTCGTCACGGGGCTTATGACACAGGGATCAGAGTGATGTACCCTTGCATGGTGTCTGTGTTCTTCAGGACCCGTGTCATCCACAGCAATGTCCAGTTACAGAACGCTCAACGATAGGGGCCTCACAGAAGTCGGGGGACTAGAACCTGCTCGCATAGTGAGCTACGTCTTCTGGTAGTTTACACGGTTGTTGTGAGCCCCGGAAGTCTACCGATACATGTCTCTGTTATGCTCGGGGACTGGCAGAGCGCCACCAACACAGTGGGGCCCGATACCAGCGAGATCCCCCAGGCAGAGCTAAATCGTGGGGCTTGGAAGGAGACGGGGTTCTGGGACTTGGGTTTCGGGGGCAAAGCTGGTGTCAGTCCACAAGCGTTGTTTCACGGCAACTCTGGACTCGGACACTCAGCGTGGCGCGATGACCGCATATGTTCAGGGGCTCAACCCGTTCCCCAAATGCTGTGCAAGCAAGCAAGGAAGAGAGAGAGAAAGAGAGACGGAACCTGTATTTGTTTGCGCGATGGTGACCTATATATCCGGGGAAGACTTCGCCAACTGTGAGCTTCTTATGACAGCATGCCGATGTCAGCAGTGATGTGAAGTTCGGGGAAAGCGCATGTTGAAAGTAACGTCACGTAATCCAGCCTCGTCATGCTTTCCAAATAATGTTCTCTCGGCGCAGGTGCCCTGGAGAGAAAGAGAGAGAGCGGGAGGCAGGGAGAGAGAGAGCGAGAGAGCGAGAATGTGACCCTGTCGGCAGCTGCCCGAGTGACGGAGAGCGAGGGACGGAGAGCTAGAGGTTGCACAGAAAGGCAGAGAGCGAGCCAGGGAGAGAGGGAGAGATGGACTATCTCATTGCTGAGGAACAGCATCGACGACTGGGAGGCGTTGCAGAGCTGGTGGCAAAATGTTGCTAGGCTGTGCTTCTTTGCAGGTCGTCGAGTTGCAAGCGAGCTTCATTGAAGAGAACTTGCTGTCGCAGGCGTATCACCGCAGAAAAGCTGCCATGACCATTCGAATGGTCTTGCACTGCACAGACAAGATTCACATTCCGTCAGGTGGCAGTGCTGATGCCAGGACTGAGCTTCCCGGTCTGGGCGGTTTCCTTATTGAAACCTTTGTGTGCAGTAGCTCAGCAAGCGGCGTCAATGCTGAGGTCCATGGACAACTGGTCGCAAAGCTTCGTGTTGATGCAGCAGATTCGAATAAGCTCGACTCTCAGTGTTCATGAGTTTCATCGTCAACATCTCGCGCATGAACACAGGTCTGCCTGCTTTGTGCTGGGTCGCGACACGGCGCCTGTGTAGCAAATTCCACAGTGTATCTGCTCCCAGGGTAGGGGCCTCGGGCCTAACCCCCTTGACGAATGGTGATTTGCCGAGGAGCTGGCGATCGAGTCGAAAAGGCGTTCGGTGGATGCAGTCGGGCTCTGATGCCGTGGCACAGAAAAGAGAAACTGGCAGAGAGTAGTAAGTCCGAGGTTCCCATCATGGGGGACGGCACCGAGACGGCAGCCTTCGCTTCTTTCCGTGTCATGTGTTTGGATGAGGACCAGCTTTCCTCTGGGACAGTCGGCAGTTTTCAAGAGGAGGCAGCTGCGACGAGCAGTAAGATGAATTCGGCCTTCGACACCGCTGAGTTCTTTGGTTTTCTGTGCTACTTCCATCCTTCTCTCGAATTTCGGCACATGATGCAGATGACAATGAAACTGTGGCGCAGTTCGATGTTGTGTTGCCGACGTCGTAACAGTCGTAACAACGGGCCTGCGGAGGGTTTCGGGCTGGGCGAAAATCAGCTGTCGAGACTGGGACTGGCATGTAGTTTCAAGAATCGAAGGAGTCCTCGACCCCTGCGGGCAGAGTTTCCCAGGAGGAGCCCTGCAGTCACATGGTGCTGCTTCCGCGTCTGGTGACCGCTGCCAGGATTTGGACGACTTCTGTGGAGGTGGCTCGCAGAGTTGTCTTGCCTGGGTCATGCCACCCGACGCCACCTCAACGAGAGAGAGAAGGCGGCAGGGTTTCATGTACAGCTTGGTGCCGTTGATGGTTACTTTGCTGCATTGCTAGGGAAGAGATGTACAGTTAGGTGTGTGTGCAGACAACATCCGAGCTTGATACTTGATCAGCTTCTAATCGTATGATGTTGTGCTGTGGGGAAGTTGTTATCCACCAGCATCAACCGTAATTTTGTTTTGGAAGAGCGTCAGGGTTTGCACTGCCTTAGGCATACAGCGGGTGCTAGCCCCATGCTGAAAGGGGGTTCTCACTCGGAGTGCTGCGTGGTGGTGCAACAGCTGTGCTCTGGCTGTGCTCTACTGTCGTTGTATGACTCGTGTATGTATATATATATATACACATACACACACACACATATATATATATATATACACACACACACATACATACCGATTGCTGCACCTTCATTTCAGGCCTGCAGCTTCTGCACCTGGTGCACACTTGTTGCGCCTCACAGTGGACGTCAAGGCTTGTCATGTCCAGCCAGCGGAAAACCGCCCTGCGACTTTTGATCTTGTCAAGGTTCCCCGTGGACACATCGCCCTCAGCGCCCTTGCCTTGTCTCGAAGCTCGTGCTCGGTGCCTTGCAGTGATCGTAGTTGTGGGCTTCGAAACATCCAAGGCCTGTTTGGCCACCTGGGCGAGGATTCCATGTTTCAGCGTGGTGACTGTCTGCTACTGTCACCAGGCGCGGCCGGCCTATCCGTTCGTTCAACTGTTAGTTGGGAGTGTGACTTTGACAGGTGCCTGTGTTCATGCCGCACATTGAGCTGGTGCCCTGCTATCCAGAGCACTGGGTCAACAGCGCCATCGCTGAATTCGTTTGTCAGTTCACATACACACGCGGGAGTCCGGTGGAACTAGATTTCCAGACTTGGCTAGCAAGACGTTACAGAATGTCCTGAACGGTTGAGAGAAGCCCTGGAAAGTGACAGAGGAAGCAGTTGACGACATGAGCTGCCTGAAAATTCGTGCCAGGTAAAACAGGGGAGTTGCACGAGAGAAAGATCTAGAGGCCGGAAGCAGAAATGCAAATAGGCAAACATGCATCGCTTCATGATGCGAGGAGCGCAAGGGCGACAAAGGAACCAGAGGGAACAACAATCCATCACATATGGGGTCAGAGGCAACGTGCGCCGTGGCGCTTCTTTCTCATCAAAACTTGGTGGCCTTGCTGGTGTTAGGTAGGGGCATGAGCAGTGTAAATACACCCATACACAGACGCACACTCATGGCGAGGTTCATTTGCCAGCTTGTCACCTGCAATTCTGCCTGCCCACCAATGGGACCTCTCTGGTGACACCACAGTTAAAGTCAGACATCTTGGCTAGTTCTCTAAATTAGGGTCCCTTTTATTGATAAGGGTGCCGTCAAAAATTGGGGACTCAGAAACAAGCGTTTGAATGAGAACATGCTCAATGCCGAGAAAATTTGAGCCACTCAGGCGCTGTTGTTGGTTCTGCTGCTCGAGAAGATGTTTGTTGGATCCGAAGACGTTTCGAAGCCCTCATCAAGTCCTGTGAGGGAGTGGGGGGCCCCAGTTATTGAACACTGCGTCGAGCGTGGAAGATGTTGGACTCCTTGGTCTTCAGCCGAAGGGCTCGAGATGCTCATGCAGTTGCAGCCTCAAATCTTTCGTGGGGAAGGTGTGACGGCTTGCAGTCGCCACGCACCTCACCTTCGTGCTCCCGCCAGCACCTCCGAATTCTTCAGTTGCCATGGAAATCGTCGTCTGGGACTTGCAATCTGCTTCCTTGCATCCACAAAAACGCCTTCACGCAGAACATGCTTGTGCACGCGCCGGGATCGGATCAAGGCTCACGCAACACCTCGGTGGCTCGGGGGTGGAATGCAGGAACTTGCGACGGACTTTGGGCAGGTGGTGGTTGGTGGCGAGGGATGTGTATACAACTCGAACAAGCTCTTTCCTTGGGCCGAGGATTGCTTACGTGAGCTCAAAGAATGTGGCATCACGGTGATCATTCTGCAATCACCTGATTCTGCGGCACTCTTGACTTTGGGCCTGTGCAAAGACCTGCATTATGATCAGGCGCTCGCGAGCGAATCGGGGTCGCAGCTGTTGCACATCCTGAAACATATCAGGAGTCAGGGGGCGAAAACATTGGTTGTGGGAGATTCCTCGCAACTCATAGAGGCTGCGACGAATGCTGGACTGGAGGCAGCTTTTGTGTGTTCTGGTAAACACAGCAGCGCATTCGGCTTGTCGGCAGCTCCTGCCATCGATGTTCCAGCAAACGGTGGTCACTTCGTGGAGCCAGATCAGATGTTGAATGGCTGCAGATCTGTCTTCAAGGCGGCCCTTCCAACCTTCGCGATGTCTTGCTTCTCCTTTTCAGCCCCTTGCCTGCTACTGATCATCTCCTCATCGCACTGCGATGTGTGAACATGCTATGAGGGCTCTACGCTGCTTCTGCAGAGACCACATTGAGAGAGTTGGAAGGTGTCGGCTTTCGACTCGGCTTTCACGCTGTTAGGAATTCCGGAAACAGGGAACCACTCGAAGTTGTATAAGAGATTATAAGAGAACTCACGGAAGTGATTGACGGAGAAACAAGATCATCGATGTGATCCGAGAGTCAAGAACACTTGCAGCACGGCAGTACCCCGGAACTACGGCCAAGCCGAGCTTGATGCTCGACTCCTCTGGGTGCTACCAGCAAAACACCTGATTCCGAGCGCCTCTGTAATCGAAGCTTTTGATGTTTTCCACCGTTCTGCAGGGGTTACAAAACGTGCTGATCCCACTTAAGCTGGGCACCGGAGCAACCCTCAGAAAGAATCCTCGTAGTTTTGTCATCAGCTGAACATAGGAGAGCCTTGACTCATACAGTAGTCCTTTGATCTTGGTATCTCGAGGCAGGTATTGTGTCACTAGAAAAGATCGCTGTGCATCGCTGCCTTGACGACAGCTTTCAGGAGCGCTTCTTCTTCAGGTTCTTCGCGAAGCGGCGCGCCATGGCACGACGGCTTCATGCCAAGCGCACAAATTCAACGTGAATCCGTACTGACGGCAAGATCATGCCAGGGAAGCAAGCAGCGGGAAAAATCAATATGTTGCACGTTTCGCTCTGCGAGATGTTTCAATGCCTCTGCTGCAGATGGCCTTTGCATGTGTGCTCTCAGATTGACTTGGCGGATGGCTCTGTCCTTCGTCTGCAAGCCGAACGACCGAGAGCTGCGGCGTGCTCCTGAGCTCACTCCACCAGATGGAATCAAGTCGCACGCAGGGAGCTTGCAGGTAGGTGATCGTCCGTCTGAGTTGCCTTCTGTTTCTCTTTCCTCTGCAAACGGAGACGGAATATATCATTTGCTTGTACGGATGTGGAAATTTTTGCAGCATCCGGAGGACTCAACAGTGCTGTAGTTATGAACACAACCAGCCAGTTGGCCCCAAGTGTAGCTACAGACCTCGGCCATACCAAAACAACTTGGGCACGCTCGTACAGCATGTGTGCAGCAGAGAGCCTGTCTTCCGTATTGTCCGGGCGTGTGGTCAGATTTGGGTCCATGAACCGAATGTTTGGATGCCATCTGGGATCGGGCTGTGGTCATCTTTGCTGAGGAAAATGTGCCACCGGAAGCACGTGCAACGTCAATAAGATCGTCTGCAGGCCATCCTAGCTTGACTAGACTGTCGAAGTGTGAGAAGGCTTTAAGTTGTTTGATGGCTAGGCGAGAGCAACCTGGAGGAGGCTGCATGTGCAGTGTCGCTGCTCTGCACTGTTTGTTGGACAATAATTTGCCTGTCGAACTAAGAATGATCTGCGAAGTGCATGCTGCATCGGGGGAAGAGATGCGATTTCGTTGAATGCATGATGTTGTCAAACGTATCAAGTATGCCGAGGCTTGATCTTGCGTTTTGTTGGTCGAGGAATCACAAGGCCCTGCAGGAGGCTCTACGCCCGAAACGCTCAATGTTGCTCCAACAAACGCGCTGTGGCGAAGTATGCAGCGTGCCGAATCGCAAACACCAGCGACACGGGTGAAGCCAGTCTCTCCAAACTTCAAATTCCCAGGCGTTTCAGAAAACTCTGGCAGAGCTTTTCAGTGGACTTGTCGCGTCATGTAGTGACTATTGACAATTGAGTAAGAAAGCGAACGGTCTTAGGGCTGGCTTAGTCTTGCGACATTAAGTGTAAATACGTGGCAATGCGTCGGGTTGCACCTTCTACCATGTCAGGTCACGACGTTCAAACTAGGCATTCTGCGATGGTACCCGGTAATACTGTGTGGACATTATGATATGGCTCGACATCGCATGCAGCTGCACGGCAGTATATGTATGTGCAAATCTCGACAAGCGAACACCCTTCCGGTAGCTCTACTTCCGACATCTCCTGGTGGGAGGTCGACTTGTACGACGACTTGTCGGACATTGAGGACATCTATCAGCTGGGGTCCCTACACGAGAAGTCGCACCGCAATCTTAGTCTCGTGCTGTTCTCGTGAAGTGGCGAACACGTCGCTGCATGTCTTGCATTGTCTTGCCGTGGTTGTTGTCCTTGCTTGCAGTGAGGCGGCATTCGGACCCTCCCATCTTTGTGGACGGTCTTGGTGTGTACGAGGCATGACCGTCAAAAGCGGCAAGTCCATGTCACACGCTGCAACTTCCCGAAAGGGGTCGACCTGGGCTGAAGCTGGTGATATCTGCTGATCGGTTGTTTGGACCCAAGCACCTTCAGGCAAGGTTTCACGTCACAGTGTAGATTCGAGCGATGGAGGGGGACGACAAGCTCCTCACACCAGAACTTGAAACTGGTGAAGTCCCCGGACGCAGCACGGCCACGTCGAAGTGGGCCACCAGGAGCCTCGCTGTCGCGGCAGCGCTCCTGCTCACTGCCTTGGCAGCTTGCGGCTTCCTTGATCATACTAGCCATGCAGAGGTCTCGAGTACCTTGGCAGAGGCAGACTTAGCTTCTACCGTCATGGACTTCGACCTCACCGGTATGAAGACAGAGAAATGTTGGCTAAACAAATCCTTTTGGGTGGAAAGATCGGGAAAGTACCAGATGCAGGGGACATCGAAGACACAGCAGATCAGCCCCGCTGCTTGCCAGCTCCTATGTGCATCGACGTACAAATGCGAGCATTTTTCCTACTGGACCGATGGTGCCTGTTTGTTGACAAGCTACTCGGCATACCCCCAAGAGTACACGGGGTCGGATGACAACGGAGTCATTTCGGGTCCACGTGTTTGCAAGGAGGTGGACAATGGGCCAACAGACCAGTTCAGTGCTTCTGCACTGGAGCTGCCACAATTTCGGGCCAAGGAGGCGGATGGATGTGGTAGTCTACACGACGACTACAAGCTCGCCTGGAGTGCAGAAGGCGAAACCTTCTTTGATGGTTGGCAGTTTATCAACAAGAGCGAGACGAGGGGTGCCGAGTGGTACTTGAACAAGACCGAAGCCTTTTATCGAGGCGTGGTCTTTGCGTCAAAGGCTGGAGCCACGATGCGTGTCGGGGAGCAGGTGCAGCCCTTTAAGCGCCGCTCTGTCATGCTGCACTCTGCGCAAGCATGGCGCCCAGATGTTGGCTTCATTGTGGTCATGAAGTACAAGCATGTGCCTTACGGACCAGGAGTTTGGCCAGCGTTTTGGTTGGTGAACAGTGACACGAGCTGGCCCAAGGGTGGCGAGCTTGACATCCTGGAATATGCGAACGATGAAACAAACAAGGTGACTTTCCACACCGACAAGAGATGCAATCTTAATGTGAAGAAAATGTTGCAATGCTCGCAGGACATCAAAGACATCGACCCGAAGATGATTGTCAGCTGCTACACCAATTACAGCGGCAACGAATTGGGCTGCCTGCCGCCACAAGTCCGAAAGACCGGTGAGTGGTACTCCAAGAATCCGGGAGTTTTGGCTCTTTTGTGGGATGCCAGTGGAATTAGCTACTTCCACATTCCCGAGAGTGAGATCCCTTCGGATCTTTCCGCCAATCAACCGCGACCAAACACTTGGAAGAGCGAGTGGCGAATGGCCTTCATGCCCTTTGAGGCTGCGTCCTGCATTGGCATTGCGAGGCCGCAGGAGATTGTGCTGAACATAGCAATCTGCGGCGACTGGGCTGGCAATAGCTGGTGGGGCTGTGACGAATGCCGTGCGACAGGCTACGTGCCGGACTACTGCATCCCGGGACATGTGACAGAGCCAGCCACGGATTGCTGCACGATCTACGTCTCCAACCCCTCCGCAGAACAGCCCTTGAAGACAAAGGCGTTCTTTGATATTGACTATGTGAAGGTCTTCGAGCCTGCATCGTATGATCTACCAGCTTACCCTGCTGGCACTTATCGGAATGGTGGTTTGTTTGGAACAGACAAATAGGTTCAATTCCGCCTCTAAAAGGGGGCGCAAGATGCACTTTCCATCTGTTGACTTGGTGTCCTTTATGCGAAAGTTGCTCTGAAGCCATGTTGCATGCTGACGTGACTGCTCGACATCCCAAGGGTTTGGGCACATGCCCTTGCGCTTCAAACCACTGCAGGTGGACCTTGGGCTTGACTTCGATGTGTCCTGCTCTCAGATCATCTCTGGTCGATACACATTCTGCAACTTCCTGCAACTTCCGGCCGAGGAAGACTCAAATTGATTCAATTTTCCCGATGGGTGCAGCAGCCAAAGAGCACTGGGCCCTGGAAGAGAATCCAGAGGCGTGGCACGTGAAGAGGCAGAGGCAGTCCTCAGGCTGTCAAAGATGCCGTGTAGGTGGTTCTCGTGTACATACGCTTTGCTGTGGGGGCAGCACGTGATTTCAGGACGTCTTCGGTGCCGTGCCGTGCCAATGATTCTCTGAATCTGAGCCTAAGCTTGTCTCGTCCAGGAGCGGTCCTGAGAAGCCTCCTTTCACCCGGATCACTGCGGGTGGTCTGCTCGCGGGGGAACCGCGTGTGACCATTGCCTGGGAGGATGGTGCTGAGCTTACTTGGGATTTACTTGGGTTCAAGAGGGTTTGGGGTTTAGGGTTTATAGGATGAGCGGACAGCGGATGTGAAACGAGACGAACGGGCTGCACTGGAGACTGGAGCACTGGCACGCACAAAGGCTTGCATAGTCTCTTCGGCCTGCCCATCAGTGTCTAGCCGTTCATGGTGCTGCGATGTGCTTGTAATCAATGTGAGGCCCTTTGTTGAGTTATTTGTCTTCTCTGAGAAAGCTGGCCAGAACAGGATCATCACAAACTGAACCAGCAGCAACGAAGAATAGGGGGAGAAGAGGCTACCTTGAGAAAAGTCTGCATTTTACCGAAGAAGTGTGAGAAGCTGCTGCGTGTAGTTAGCGAGGCCGTTTGAACTGGATCACATCGGTGCTTCAGAAAACAAAAAGGCCTCTTAGGCGAGGCCACAAGCCGCAGAAAAGCATCGCTGGCACTTCCAAGGCGCGGTTTTTTTCAGTCCATGCAGAACAGTAAAACACCTCATCTCAAAGATAACAACTTATAGATTGAAAGTGGGACCTCACACATGGAAGGCGAAACCTTTATTGGGAGGCACAGGCCTATGGAACGTCGCTCATCACGTACTGTTGCGACCCCCATGTCAGATGCTCGATTTCGTCCAGTGTTGAGTTCCATCCCGGAGTGATACCAGGTGATCCTGTTCGTCACAATGTGGAGCCACTAGGCGAGTTCGGCCGTCACTTTCTTCTAGCATGTCTGGCGAATTCTTGCCTGAAGGTGTGATGTGGGCGGCGATGCCAATACAAGCTCCAGAGGCTCTCCATCCAGGGTTGGGTCGAAAGCTTTTTGAGCAATTCTGCAGCATTTCTGTGAGGAGTGGGCGGAGGTCATGCAGCTTGTGCATGCACCCTGTCAGAATCTCAGATGAGACTGCACAAGCCAAGTCAGGTGCATTTGGTCATGAGGCCAGAACTCCATCGACACGACCAGTCTTTTCTCAGAGCCCTACTCCAGTCTGCATCGATACGTGGAGGTCCTCTCCGCTCCTGAGTCCAGATTGCTTGGCACCTCGGCACGGCGCAGGCCTCCTTGGGATGCCATCTTCCCATGCCGACGACCGATGCACTGCTCGGAGCTTGCAGAGCTTGTGATGTTTTTGAAGCAGCGCAGCAGTTCTGTCTCGTTCCGTTGTTTGAGGCCATCCCAATGCCCAGTGCTGCCTGGTGATGCCCCTTGCAATTCGTCCTTCCTAGTAAGTCTTGAAATGGACAGCTCCGAGGCATCGTTGCTGTCGTTGGACCACCGGGGCCGCATGCTGAGACCAACTGATGGATGCAGCTCCAAGATGGTAGCCACTGGCCAAGGTCTGGCAAGTCAAGACTTTGTCAGAGGGTACTGGGTGACCTCGTGGAGGAAGGAGTTCTATCTGTGCAGGCTTGAAGGTAGATGGCATGGCATGACCTTTCCTCTATGCCTCTTTGTGACAGGTTGCTTGCAGCAAGCTTGGACCTGGGAGGAAGTTCAAGGCAGTGCAGGAGTGCTCCTACATTGCCTGCACTCTGGTTAATAAATTATTATTATTATTGTTATTATTATTATTATTATATTATTATTATTATATTATTATTATTATTTATTATTATTATTATTATATTTTTGTTCTTATTCTATTATTACTTTATTATTATGTTATTATATATGATCCCATCACTGCAGAGCTTGAGGACTGGCTGCGATCGATTCTTTCCTTCGCGTGTTGGTATTCGCCCTGCGTTCTGTTGCCGCGTGCTCAGCCCACTGCAGGTCGTTCCGGCTTCTGCCCTTGTTTCCTCTCGGTGGGCGATTGGAACATGAGCGAAGACGACTCTGCCGTGAAGAAATTCGAGGTAAATGCTGGGCTCCAGACGACGCAGAAGTTCAGAAATGGTCTGTGCAGTAAGTCCACACTTCTCGGCATGCCCTACTGCGAAAACAATCTCAACGGATCCACTTGTTTTGGGGAAGAGCGACGGAGAAGCAAGACAGGAGGTTTGTTTTGTTTTGCTTTCTTTTTGGCCTGCAGGGGGTGGGTGGGTGAGGTGCAGGGGGTGCGGGGGGCTGCGGGGAGCTCGGGGGGTGTGGGGACGGGGAAGAAGGGGGGGTGGGGGGCTGGAGGCGCAAGTCTTTACGTACAAGTGGATTTCGAAGCAATATACAGGTGGAAGCAACACACTTCAACATGACTCAGATTAGATTAGACTAGACGAGATCTATCATGTAGAAATTGTATTATTCCATCTTTTCTTGATCTCAGTTCAATATGATGTGTATATTATTATACAATTTTCTTGCATCAATAGCGAATTCCAGTTTTGTTATTACAGTACGATAATACTGTAAAATATGCTGCAACTCAAACTAGTGTTATACAAAAACTAGTATTGATCTATGCTTATATGACTACGATTTTAATATTATTTAGAACTTATATGGCTAATATATTCATAGGCAACTAACAATACTTACGATTATTGTTTTGCATTAGTAATTTTAATAGTAGTTCCTATTCTGCTGCGGTACAGAATAGTATATCGTTGTAATTTACTAAGGCATGCTATAACATGGGGTATGCATTTCTATATATCATGATAAAATGTGATAAAGTATGACAGAATAGAACTTGATATAACATAATCCATTTTAACGTAAAAAACTTTGTAGAACATGACATAGTATTGTGAATCAAACAGAAAGGAATAACACACCATAGTCTGTATATAGTATGCTACAAGGTTTTTGTGGTATAATACACTAGTCTGCACCATAGCAGAACAGAAACTAATATTAAAATTATCAATGTAGAACAGTAACCGTAAGTAAATATCAGTTGCCTATAAATACATTAGCCTTATAAGTTCTGCATAATCTTAAAATCGTATTCATATAAAAGCATAGAGCGAGCCCCCCCCCCCCCCCCCCCCC